GTTGGAAACAGGAGAGGAGCCCGTCTTCCGCGTCTTGGCCCGAGATAGGGGGAGATACGGGGAGATAGGGGGAGATCTTCCGCGTCTAGGCTCGGTGGCCGTCGGCGGCGGCGGCGGCAGCGGCGGCGGCATGGCTTCGGGAGACGGCTTTGGGCGAGGCGAGCGGCGGCGGCGCCGTCTCGCTATGCGCCGCGAACGAGAGGTCGAGCGCGGTCGAGACGGCGGCGGCGTCGGAGCGCTTGAGGAGCCTATGGATTGATCAATGAACCCGTCGACAGAGCAGGACGTGCCCCCCCCAAGGGGGTATCCCCCGTCCACCACCTCGACGCGAACTCCTCCCCACCGCGGAGCGTCTAGCCTGTGTGGCCCGTGTGTCGCTCCAATGCGGCCGTCTCTCCGCCTCGCTGGTCTCCCACCCATACCGCCCTGCTGTCCGGCCACTGGCCAGAGTTCGCCTCCCCTACTCCTACGGTACCCGAACCCACCCTCCCCTACCCCTACGGTACCCGAACCCACCCTCCCCTACCCCTCGGTACCCGAACCCAGCCTCCCCTACCCCTCGGTACCCGAAGCCAGCCAGACTGTGTCTTCGCCTCTCCAGCTAACCAACTCACCGCTCCCTCGAGTAGTCGAAGCGCATCAGGTGGAGCGGCAGCAGCCGCGGCAGTTTCGACACGTGCTGCGTGAGCGCCGCGTACGCATGGCCGCACCGCTCGCACGTCACCTGGTGGTCGCACAACCTCGGGTCACCTCTGGTCACCTCGGGTCATCTCGGGTCACCTCGGGTCACCTCTGGTCACCTCGGGTCATCTCGGGTCACCTCGGGTCACCTCGGGTCACCTCGGGTCACCTCGGGTCACCTCGGGTCACCTCTGGTCATCTCTGGTCATCTCTGGTCATCTCGGGGCAATCTCGAGGCAATCTCGGGGCGGCACCTCCAGCGAGACGGGCGCCAGGTGCTCCTCGAGCAGCGACTGGAGCGAGGGCGGCGCGCGGCGGCCGCCGGGCGCGGGCGCCGGCAGCTGGAGCGAGAGCGAGGAGAAGGGCTCGCACCGCCGCCACTCGTGCCCGCACTTGAAGCAGCGCATCGTCTTGAGCACCTGCGCCGGGGGGCGGGGCAAGAGGTCTTGGGGGGCGGAGCACGCTTCTCGCGCAAGCGTGTCTTCGGAGCACCGTGGGGAGGCGAGGGCTGCGGGGAGATATGGGGAGATATGGGGAGATATGGGGAGATATGGGGAGATAGGGGGAGATAGGGGGAGATATGGGGAGATATGGGGAGGCGAGGGCTGCGAGTCGAGAGAATACGGCGGGATCCGGTGAGCTGTGTGCTGTGTGTCCAGCAGTCCGGACCCGGTGCTATAGCCGGTGACAGTGTGCCTCGTGTCGGCTCCCGAGCCAATCGTGTGCAGCGTGTGTGTGCGTGGGCCCGTCCTTGGTGCTAGGAGGTGTGTAGCACTGACTGGCTGGCTACAGCGGGATGATACGGCGGAGTGACAGAGGAATGCGCGTCCCTCTCGAGTGCTCGTCGGGACACACAGGCGCGTACCACCTTCGTACTCTGCATCCAGGCTACGAGAGATGGGGAGATATGGGGAGACGTGACCCGTGCTCCGCATCTGGCCTCGAGGTATGGGGAGATAGGGGGAGATATGGGGAGATATGGGGGAGATAGGGGGAGACGTGACCCGTGCTCCGCATCTGGCCTCGAGGTATGGGGAGATATGGGGAGATATGGGGAGATATGGGGAGATATGGGGAGATGTGACCCACCTCACCCCCGAAGTTCTGCGGCACCGGCAGCGTCGACTCGCCCTCCTCTGCGCCCGCCCGGCCGCTGCCACCCGCAGCCGTGAGGGCTGGCCTCAGAGGAGCGCCTGCGGGGCTGTGTCTCGGGTGCGGGATGTGTGTCTCGGGCGTGTCTTGGGCATGTCTCGGGCATGTCTTGGGCGTGTCTTGGGCGTGTCTTGGGCGTGTCTTGGGCATGTCTCGGGCATGTCTCGGGCGTGTCTTGGCACGCCGTGGCGGGGAGGGAGGCGGCGGCGAGGGAGGCGGCGGCGAGGGAGGCGGCGGCGAGGGAGGCGGCGGCGAGGGAGGCGGCGGCGAGGGAAGCGGCGGCGAGGGAAGCGGCGGCGAGGGAGGCGGCGGGGAGGAAAGCGGCGGCGAGGGAGGCGGCGGGGAGAGGGGCAAGCGGCCGCGCCGTCCGGCGCCGCAGATCTTGCGGCGGACGCCCTTGCCGCGTCTCGCATCTCGTCCGAGAGGGCGTCCACCTATGCACGGACGTGTCTCGGACATGTCGCGGACGTG